CTTCTAGAAGGAGTCAGATAAATGGTGCAGGCTTACAGGCCCACAGTTTAGTGTGGCTGTGCAAAACATACACAGAAGCTTCATGAAAACTGAGGGTAATATTTTTTCCTAATTCAGCAATAATAGTACTTCCCATAATGATGCCAACTGGCAATATTAAGGCATTAGTCCCATAACTCACCAGGTAGTTTCTGGGAAACGGAAGTCTTTGAGTTCCTGGGGTAGTATGGTTACAAAACTGAAATTTAAAGGAGCTGATGGAAGGGTACCACCAGGAGTTGAGCCTAAAGTCCAATTTGACTCAAAACGAGAAAACTCACCCAGCCCAGACAGGGACAGGCTTGCTACAAGCTCTTTCTCCATTCTGTGAGTGATGGTGCATGGCCATTCTTAGTTGGTAGAGCAATCTGTCTGGTTAATTTGGATAATGAAGGAGATTCTGGCACAGCAAGTATTTAAATGAGCACTACTGTGTCTGGGGTTCCATTTTCCACAATAAGAGCACTGTTATCCGTATATTACAGGCAAAAAATTACAATACAGAGAATATTCCCATTGTTGCTAGTTATTTCCAATACTTATCCAACACTTTATCTTTAAAATTTTGTTTTCTGGGCATGGTGGTGCACACCTTTGATCCCAGCACTCAGGAGGCAGAGGCAGGTGGATCTCTGTGAGTTCAAGGTCAGCCTGATCCACATAGTGAATTCCAGGACAGCTGGGGCTACAGAGAGACCCTGTCTCAAAAAGACAGAAAAAAAATTGTTTTCCAGGACTCAGAGAACGTAAGGTCTTGGAAAAGGCCTTAGAGACAAGTGAGTGACACACCTTTAATTTTACCGATGGAGCAGACCTGGAGAGGAATTCGGGGGTATTTGTCTGAGTCCCACAATAAGATTGTGAGCCCATTAACCTGTACTCATCGTTCCTCTCACATAACAATCATTCTGTTGAAAGTGTCTTTTGTTTTTTGAGACTGAGTCTGGCTATGTAGTCGCAACTGGTCTTGAAACTTCTGTATCAGCTGCCAGAAAGCTATCGGGATTACAGGTGTGGAACCATGAAGGTTTTTTGTTTGTTTGAACTGGTTTTTAAAAGACTTATTTTTATATATCTGTGCAGTGAGTATAAGTGTACATGTGTCCCAGTAAGCATGCCTCTCCTGAGTGGAAGCCAGATGGGACTTAGGTGCCTTCATCTATCACTTCTTTCTATTATCTGGCTGCAGAATTGCTCTCTGAATCTGGGGCTCCCCTTTTGACTTTTCCAGCTAAGCTAGAAGCCAGCAAGCCCCAGTGTCTTAGTTTGTTCTTCATTGCTGTGACAAAACACTCTGACCAGTACCAACTTGGGGAGGAAAGGGTTTATTTGTCTTACATCTCCCAGGTCCCACGCAATTCATCAGGGAGCCCAAGGTAGGAACTCAGGGCAGGAACCTGGAGGCAGGAGCTGGAGCACAGGCCATGGAGGAA